ATGATGAATGCAATCAGTATGTACGATAAATATGTACCAATTTAAAAAGTAAAGTTGAGAAAATAAAAAAGAGCTGGCAGAAGGATCATTGTGAGTTCGAGGCCAGCCTGGGCTACAAAGTGAGTTCGAGACCAGCCTGCACTGCAGAGTGAGACCCTGTCTCAAAAAAATAAATAAAATAAAATGTGAAAAACAAATAAAATATTACCAGATGTCAATTCTGAGAACACCTCTAGCCCCTACTGGCCTGTCTTTCATGCTAACCCAGGAGAATATTCTTACAAAATGTGTTCAGCAGGAACACATCATATGCAAAAGAATATTTAAATTCATTTATTAGATCAACAAAAACAATAGTGGTTAGTGGGCTGGGATGTAGCTCAGTACAACAGTGCTTGTCTAGCAGGTGCAAGGCCCTTACTTCAATCCCTAGTCCTTTATCCCTTAAAAAGAAAAAGTGATTAGCAAAACTCTAATGAAGTTATTACAGATACAATTCTACTAATTCAAAGTAACAAATAAATTTGCTTTCAATTCTAAAATGTGACAATTCAATTCTGAAATGTGCCTCTATTACAGATACAAAGATAAACTAAAATGTGAAAGTGGTACTTGAATGTATTTCTACATTGAAAGCAACAAGGAAACATGATTTTGAGGCATATGAGGAAAGTTTTGTTTTATAGGAACATACAGCTTTTACATATAGAAATGGTCATCTTCTCTTCATCCTACAGAAAAAATTCCTTTAAAAATCACTTTTCCCCAAGATTCCTCATTGACCTCCTGTTCTGACTCAACATCCCCCCTAATATATAATAAAGCAAGTAGTCTCTGCAATCCTTTACAGGCTACTAACTGCCAAACCTACAACTCTAACGAAGAACTCTCTCCAGGAGTCTTCTGCACCTGTGCATCTCTACCTGCACCCCACAGGCATTTTAAATACCATAAACTGAAGACTCAACTTATTTTCCAAACTTCCTTTCCCCTCCACCATCCGTCTTTCACCCAAACTAGAAAGCTAAATATCATGCTGAACTACTCTCCCTTCTGTTTCGTTTCTAACGTTAACTATTCCCCCCTTTCCCTTTCATCTCCTTCCTCAGCGCAGCTGGCCTTGTTTAGACCTGGGTATCTCTTGCCCACACTGGGTATCTCTTGCCCAGCCTTCTGCAACAGCATTCCACATCACCCTCTTATGCGTAGTCTCCTTTCTCCCTAAGGAAGATTCCACACAGCTGCTAGGGGACTCTTTTATCATCAACATGTCAAACAGGTCCCTGCAAGAGCACTTACCTATGGCCTGTGCAGTCTGATGCCTGGACACCACTCAGTCTACTAGCACGCTCTGACAATACCAAAGTACTTGTGTTTCCTGGAGCACACCACAGCTCTCAAACTTCTGTGCCCTTGCACACACTGCCTGTGTTCTGCCAGCAGCACAAACGTTAGCTTGTCAAGTTCCTTCACTCTGACAACAATGTATTGGACCTGTTCATCTCCCTTCCCTAACAGAGGGAGGTAGTGCCTTCAGCACATCGTTTTCTACACTGTACATTTTTTTTTAGTAAAATCTGAATGAAACCAACACTGCAGAAGTTGGTGAAAAAAACAGATCTTTAACAGCTTACAGATTATAAAACCTTACCAGAACAAAATGAGTCAAACAATAAGTACAGTGAGCCTCTACAAATAAGTAAAAATCTCTGCTCCTTCTTTGGGTACTCACTGATTGTCGGGAATAATAACAGGCAAACAATTATTCCCAGATGAGGCTAAAATACAAGCAGATATAAAGAACACGTGGAGATGCGCTATCCAACTCTGCCCGTGGCAGCAGTTAATGTCTCACAAAAATTACACACGTATACATATGTACATTTTATGTATGTGTCTCATGTCTATCACGACTGCTGCTACACACTGCATGTAAACATGTAGTAAATGCACACTGGCATTAGCTACTGAAGAATGAGTAGGAGTGTACCTGCCATTCTAAGCCAGGCATCTCCACTATAATCTCAGCCCTTGGGAGGCTGGGCGGGAGAATGGCCAGGAATACAAGGCCAGCCTGAGTTCAAGAATCCTGCACTACATACGGACAGACCCTGTCTCAAAAAATAAATAAATAAATAAATAAATAAATAAATAAATAAATAAATAAATAAAAATTTGAAAGGCATTTAAACAAATGGAAAAGCATTAACACAGGTGGAGGAAGTATCATGAAACGTAATCATGGTCTTAGGTGGCCTCTATTGTAGAACCGGAGTGAAAGGAGAGGCACAACAGGTGAATAATGCAAAGATCCCCTATGAAACTACTGAGCTTAGCAAAAACAGGAGTGTTGTGGATGTGCCTTTGGACCTAAGAATAATGCCACCCAGAGATACTGCTCAGCACTGTCTTCTGGATGAACGAACGCTCTACCCTGTATGTTAACCTAGGGGTGGTGTTCCTTCCTTGTTCAGAACCATCTGTCATCTATCATCACGTGGCATATTTTTATTATCTCTGCGCAGTAAATGTTGCACAACACTGGCTGACATGCCTTTAATGGAACAGCACATGAACATCTATATTTAACCTGCCATTTCTCTTTTGTGCCTCAACTTCTGCTAATAACTAGAAAGCAAATTACAGTGTCCCTCAGAAAATCCACACCCTTATTATATTATTTAATCTTTACAACTTGCTTTTTGACTGTTGCCTCTATTTC